ACTCTTCCACAAACTTGAATATCCCTTGGGACCCATTCCAAGTATCCCAAGCTAGAATATATAAACCCATACAAATCCTTAAGTCTTTCCAATGTAAGACAAACATATTTCACAAATGTGTAGAAAACCCACCTAAAGCCATTTTCACAAATTCAAAAATGTGCGTTGAATTCTCATTTATCTGAAAATGGTTTTGAACAACTAAATACACAATGTTATTCACTACGCGGCATTAAAGATGAACCAAATTAGAAAAGTTAAAAATAACGCATGAGTCCCACCTTAATTAATGCTCAAAATTAACAAAAAAAAAAAAAAAGTTTTTCCAAAGCCTCCAAATCACTTTTCTCTAAAGTGGTTTGGTGATAAAGAGGATACGAGGTTGGTATTTGGAGCCTCATTTGAAGGTTTTATTCATGTTTATTAATTTTAGTGATGCAGATAAATGTATCAAAAATAAATAAATAAATAAATAACAAAATTAAACTACAAATAAATCCGAACTAGAGATATTTTCTCTACAATCGAATAATATTTAAAAAATTCTCTATTTTTATTAATCAAATATCAACCTCCACTCCATAACCCTAAGGCTTACATTTTTATTTATACCAAAAATAATTCTTACTAATCAAGAAAAAGAAAATATATATTCTTGCTAGTCAAGAATATTTAAAAAGGAAATAAGAAATAAAAATAATTCTTATAAAACAAACAATCCTATTATTGTAAATAAGAAAATAAATGAAATAAGAAACTTAAATAAATAGGAAAATAAAAGATCCTAATCAAATATTAAAATAAAAATATATAATTTCTAAATTTCAATTTGCATCATTCTCCGTCCCTTGAAAAAACTTGTACTCGAGTTTCTATAAGTTGAAACAATTTAATTCGCCCGTACTTATCCTCATCTGCCTTTGAGATTGATCAGATCTAATGACCCTTGAGTTAATTGGTTTTGTATCACAATCCATAAAATCTCCATTGATATTTTATTTCTTAAAATATGCATGTAACCGAATCTTAATTCTTGACTATTCAAAATATTTTCTTCAATTTGAATTTGGACAATCATAGCCTCAGCACGATAGCATGTGAAAAACACACCTTCGTTGGTTAGGACCAGGTTCCTGGCCTCTTGCCTAAGAGGCCTATCGATTTGGAGCTCATTGTCTGATGCAAAACCAACAGTCTCGTCCCATAGCAAGCTTTCAGCACAATAATCTTGCAAGATATATTCTGATTCTGTTGAGAGTTGATTAATCATCTCTTGCAACTTTGTTGTATTATACCATTTTTAGAATCATCTTTTGCAGTTTTTTTTATCTCACTACAAAAAATTAAAGTTTTAGAAATTAAAATTTAGGAACAAAATTATTTTTTAAGGATCAAATAATTTTGTTGCGAAAGTGTTGTCATTATATTTTTAGAAATAAAAATTGAAAACTACTTATGAATTATTATCTTTTTTGGACCAAATTTTTGTCTCAAAAAATAAACATTTTTAGATTAAATTATTTTGTTCTTAAAAATATATTTATTAGTGACATTTTCAAATTTTATTTGCTAAAAGTCTTGTTTTTGATTTTTCGGGACAACTTTTTAGCAATTATCCTCACGACAATAGAAATCAGTCTCTAAATGTCTTTTGTAACAAAATTTTCACTTTTAAGGACCAAAAAATTTGATCTCTAAAACTCTTATATGCTGTAGTGTCTATTGATGGTTCATCAATATCATCCTCCTCCAAATTCTCATCATATATTGGGAGTGAATCCCAATTAATGTGGGACTGTAATGATGAAATTTTGTATCTAAAAATATTTTATCGGATTCATTTTTTAATGTAGTAATCCAATCTAGAATTTCTTTAAGTTGTAAACAACCGGTGAACTCTGGTATGACATTTTAAAGCTCGACTCCCATTGATTGAATGCACTCTTCACCATCGGATGCCTCTTCCGTGATCTGTATGCCCCAAACGGGTCTCATCTTCATTCTTGACATCATATGCATCCTCTTCCTCCACAAATCGTGGATTTGGTTGATGGTTGCGTGGTCAGTTTCTAACGTCATGGCCTCAAAACGCTCCAACAAGGTATCCTTTCAAGGCGCTCCAAACGTCGAAATCGCTCCTTTATTAGGGCATCTCATGTCGCATCAACTCTCTCATACCTTTCTTCAATAACATCATATTGACCACCACATACTCTTTGTCATACCATGGTTAGAATCGAGCCTAGGCTCTAACACCAACTGATGTAGCATATCAAAAAGATGAGCAATAAGACCAAACCACGAATAAATCTAAACTAGAGATACTCTCTCTACGATTTTATTTATACTAAAAATAATTGTTGCTAATCAAGAAAATCTAAAATGGAAAATATATATTCTTGCTAGTCAAGAATATAAGTTGTAAACAATCGGTGAACTCTGGTATGACATGTTTAAAGCTCGACTCCCATTGATTGAATGCACTGTTCACCATCGGATGCCTCTTCCGTGATCTATATGCCCCAAACGGGTTCTCATCTTCATTCTTGACATCATATGCATCCTCTTCCTCCACAAATCGTGGATTTGGTTGATGGTTGCGTGGTCAGTTTCTAACGTCATGGTCTCAAAACACTCCAACAAGGTATCCTTTCAAGGCGCACCAAACGTCGAAATTGCTCCTCTATTAAGGCATCTCATGTCGCATCAACTCTCTCATACCTCTCTTCAACAACATCATATTGACCACCACATACTCTTTGTCATACCATGGTTGGAATCGAGCTTAGGCTCTAATACCAATTGATGTAGCATATCAAAAAGACGAGCAATAAGACCAAACCACGAATAAATCTAAACTAGAGATACTCTCTCTACGATTTTATTTATACTAAAAATAATTGATGCTAATCAAGAAAATCTAAAATGGAAAATATATATTCTTGCTAGTCAAGAATATTTAGAAGGGAAATAAGAAATAAGAAATAAATTTGATAAAGCAAACAATTTGATTATTGTATATAAGAAAATAAACGAAATAAGAAAATTAAATAAATAGGCAAATAATAGATTCTAGTGTTAAATAAAAATCCTAATCAAATATTAAATAAATTACAAAAATATATAATTTATAAATTCCAATCTGCATCAATTAGACTACTGACTCTTTATTAGACTGTATGCAAATCTCTTGTGTGGTAATATTGTATTATTGGACTCGTTCATGTTTGATTGTCTAATTAGGTTGATCATTACTACGATGGAATTGAATGATGGTATTGCTAAGGTGCCAATAATAGGTTGGAGATGTATCATAAATTGTGTTTATTTATACACGAGTGTGATTGTATTAATTGGTTGTGATTATATTTATAAAGTTAGATAAAAATTCTCGTTATGTAACAAGTAACTTCATTATTTTTTGTTAAGTAAGAGAAAAGTAGTGTTTAGCCATTTAATCCGTGAGATTAGATTGTGAATCTCACCTCTTAGCATCAGAACAAGTTATTTTAGTAATTTTTTAGTTTTTCATGAAAAGATGTATAGAAAAATAGAGAGTGATGTGACAACTTATAGTGATCTTTTGACTTTTTGACTAAAACATATATAATTATCAAACGAGATCTATACTCTTGTACCTTCTTTTCTTTTTGTTATAGATAAACTACTAATAAATCCTAATAATTAGATTTAATTCCTATCAAGTCCTATTGAAAATAAGCCCTAATAAAATCGATGCTAAAAATAAATTTTTTTTTGCATGTTCCTAAAAATTGACAATTAATGATTTTTATCGTCACTGTTTTTATAAATTGTCGCTACACTTACAATTAATAATATTTTTCTATGACGAATTTTTTAAATTGTCGCTGAAAGTTAAAAATTAGTGATTTTTTTTTTTTGTGATGATTTTTTTAAATTGTCCCTAAAATTTATAATTAGTAACATTTTTTTGATAAAATTTTTAAATTGTCGCTGAAAATTAACAGTTAGAGACATTTTGCAATAGTGTGTGATGAAAAATCCTATTAATTATCATAGGACTTATTGAACAATAAATTCACATATTAAGACTTACACGTAAGTCCCCTCCTCCCTCTTCTCTTTTTTTTTTTTTCCAACCAAACAAGATTATGTAAGACCTACAAGATTGCTAACCCAATCCCACTCTCTAAAAAGGTTATCAAACATGTTAGGCGTGTTTAGTTTGGTTTTGAAAGATAAATTTTCTAAAAAAAATTTGGAGAAAGAGTTTAGAATTTTTTTTTTTTTTTTGGTTGTATATTTTGGAAATAGTTTTGGAATATAGAAGTTTGAGATGATTTAATATTTTGTTGTTATTGAATAGATGTGTGTGAGAAAAAAAATTATTGAGAAAGAGAGAAGAGAGAGAGAAAAAATGATTGCTTGATATGTAGGAGACAGAAAGTAAATTTGAATTTTTTTTTACAAAATCACTAAATCATACAAAATTTTAAAAATTTTTCTTTAAAATTTGTTTCTCGAAAACAAATCAAACAAGGCAGTCATCTTTGTTTGACTGCGTGACAGACAAGATCTCTTATGATCACATTAAAAAAGGGCGTTGCTATATACTCGTCTTATATTTCTACCATTTTTCTCTTAACAAGACCAAGAGATTAGTTTGGTAGATGAGAGTCCCACAATGCGCCTTTCAATTTTCCTCTCTCTTTCTAGTTAAAAATATTAAATTCAGTCCAAAACATTCCTAAGTTGTAATTTCAGGTCTTCCTATGCTCCAAACATTAATTATCCTTATATTTTGGGGCAGATTAGGGCCAACTTAGGGATGTGGAATGTATCATTGACTGTCTGGTTTTATTGGTAACAACCGATTAGCTCATGGAGAGCATGTGAAATTGTGAACCGGTCATCCAAGCCCATCGGCATTGCTTATTGTTCTATCTAAAGTATTAAACCCGGTTCGGTCAGGTGCGTGAACAAACCGTTTTCCTTTTCGGACACCTAACCGTCTTTGAACTTGGTAGTTGAGACTTGGAGAAACTAACGACTTTGGGGAACTTTCAGAGAGAGAGAGAGAGTTAATTAAAGTGATTATCATATGATTGTCTCTCTCTGTACCTTCTTTTTATAACTTCAACCCCCAACTATGCCTTCTCTGTGTCTCTTTTATTTTCATGTGTTTCTCATTCATTATCTGTCTTCAACAAACCCAAAGGTGTCATGAGAATTCCAAACATTTTCAAAGCAAATAACACCCTCCGCCCAGAATCTTCGAACCCAGTTCGTGAAAATCTCGTTCACAAACCCAACCCTAAACACAATGGATTCAAACCTTCTGTGTTTCGTCTTTTGCGGCGACTCATGTCTGGAAGTAAGCTTCAAATTTATTTATTTATTTATTTATTTATTTTTCCATTTATGCCATATAAATGTTGTTAGTGTTTAATTTTGTTTTCTTCAGTTGAATTTGTAATGGTTTTATGTTGTATCTTCCAAATCTGTAGATAAGATTGATGGGGGGTCGCGGACGGAAGAAGAAGACAAGGTGTACTCTTGGTTATACGCCTTGGCCCAATCGGAAAAAGACATGGTGTTTGAATATGTACGATCAACTGAAAGAGGTGAGTGTATCTCGAATCTTTTAAGAGTTTTTTTTTTTTTAAAAAAAAAAAAAAAAAATTGGTGGAAATGCTGTCTTGAAGGAATTTCACTTGTTAATAGTGTTATTCTGATCTGAGGACCACAAATTTAAATTGGGTTCTTATGATATAATTGAAGGTCCAACAGATGTTCGATGAAATGTTTCTGATTACACAACACAGACTAGGCATCAGCAGTTTGATCCATAGCATAAGCTCAATCCATTAGGACACAACATTATCTTATATCAATTCATATTCTCGTTTTTTATCTCTACGAGTTGGAAGGAGGGGAAACTGAGCAATACCAAAGCATTTTTATGTGTGTTTGGCTCTGTGTTTGCTCTCTCTTTTTCAATTGTTGGAGGCATCTTTATTTCTGAGATAAGCAGTGCTAGGAGCACAGAAACAATCACAAGGGGTGGTACCCACATGTGCAGCCTAGTAAATATTGCTCTGACCCTTTGTCTCACGTGTGATTGTTTTTGTGTTCCGATTTTGTGCTTTTAGTGTTTCCTTTTGAAGATTGTAGCATACCTATTCGGCACAATAATTCAGTGTGTGACACTTGTGCCTTATGTATGGCTGAACCCACAACTATGCAGGCTTACCCATCAGCTATTCTGAGATGTCCATTACCAAGATATTCTGTGGCATTCTGCCTCACATCAGGCAATAGCATTATGGGATCTCGCAAGGGATCCATCAATCATCAAAACTCATAAAGATGTCTGACAAATTAAGGATCAAGATTCCCTTCAATACTTCTTTGTGCAATGATCTTGTGTGGTAACACAACTGTCCAAATTAAAAATTGAAGTGAAGCGACATTGTTTTGTGGTGTAATTTAAAATAAAAAGATAATATTTTAATTTAATTTTATACGTGGACTGTTAGATTATGTCATTTGCTCACGCGTCTTGTTGTGGTAAAAACCATAGCAAGATCACTGCAGAAAAAGTATGGCAGGAGGATCCAAGTCCACTAAGTAGATATGGGATTTTCCTACCCTTTTTTCATCTTATATTTCAGGTTATGTTTTTGATGTTTTGTTCTATGTATTAGTATATGAAATTTGGGGATTACTACTCGCACCACACTTATATATATATATATATATTTTTTATAGTTGCACTTCAAATTTTGTCATTAGTGTGCATTGGAAACTATATTATGTATAGTTTTTATTGTTTTATTTTGTTTTTAATACTAAAAGCAAATTATGGAGTGTATTTATAAAGAATGAGAGTACGAATATCACTTCCCTAAAATTTTGATGACACTAAAAGCTCTTATAGATTTTTCTGTAAATAAATAACAATTACGAGGGTTTGGATACATAAAAAGGGGTAATCTAGTGCACAAGACTCCTGCCACTGAGGGTTTGGGAAGGGCAGATATATGTGACCTTAATTTTATATTGTAGGCTGTGAAATTTGGAGGCATGGAACAACCTATTTTTACAAGGAAATTCATTAGGAAACCAATGAACTAATGAAGGTCAGTTTAAGGCCAAACAAACCACTTGTCAGTTTAAGGCTCCTCCCCAATTATGATTTTTGGATCCACCACTTTGCATAAAGACTCGTTGTGATGTGATCCTTCGCATATGAACACTCTAATAACCAACTAACCTATCTTTGTTTAGTTTATAATCATTAGTAATGTCTACTAACAGAAACATCTTTAATTGTTCGAAGAATAGTAAACCAGTTGTAACCTTGAATAGAAAGTACTCTGCAGCGACATGCCAAAATCCTATTACATTCACTTTAATCAAGTTCTGATTTTATATTTTAGTATACGGTTTATTCAAAGGAAATATGGAAAATGTTGCCAAACCCACCACAAATCAGTCTGGCTCGACAGTATGAGAACTTTAATTAAGTTAAAGTCCCAGAGCACTGTATTTGAAATATTACTTAACTTGTATGTTTCAAATATTGACACCATTTTCTAGATACAAGAAATTTCTCTTTGCAAACTTTGTTGCAAATTTAACATGTTTTCTTCTTCGTCATCCTGAGATGCAAAGATGGGGCTTAATTGATTTCCTGTCTGTCATATTTATGGAGAGTTGAAACTAAATGATGCATGTAGTACTGTTTGTAGTTAGAAGTAAGTAATAGAGTCCTTGGCACCAATTAACTTTCAGTAGGTAGGCCAGCAGAAAATAGATACCAGCTGGGGAAAAAAGGTTTGTTCTTGCTCATTCTAATTTGTGTTGCAACAGTGATACTGTAACTAAAACACTTTTTTCTATAGTTAGTATGCATTTTAAGTTTGTGCTCAGAATCAAACATATACAAATATGTATGTTTTCACCTGTAATATATTTTCTCTTACAATTACTATTAAAAATTTAACAGGAACATTTTAACAAGAGAGATAATGGCTATTTTTGTTCAATTTTGCTTCTGAGTTGTGCATTGTTGTTTAAGCATTTAAGTTATGTGAATGACCTACAAAAGGAAATCAGTTACCCTCTGCTATGTGAATGACCTAGTCCTAGTGTCATTTCTTCAATGAGATACTAATCTGTTCGACTTCCTGTAGGTTTGAGCTTCACTGAAGCTGAGAGGAGATTGAAGGAAAATGGCCCAAATATTCCTCTAGAATATACTTTTCCAAGCTGGTGGCATCTTCTGTGGAGTGCCTTTTTTCACCCTTTCAATATTATTTTGATTGTTTTGTCAGCCCTCTCGTACTTAGCTAGTGACAGTCCCAATGGATGCATCATGCTCGTATTGGTCTTCATAAGCGTCTCCCTCCGGTTTTACCAGGTATATTTTTCCTTTAGTTATTCCAATCAGAATGATGCTGTACATATTCGTTTCTCAAGCATTTATTTATTGTATTCTCCATCTACCTTTCAGGAGTATGGGAGTTCAAAAGCAGCAATGAAGCTCTCAGAATTTGTTCGATGCCCAGTTAAAGTTCAAAGGTGTGCAGGCAGAGTTGTTCAGACTGAATTATTGGTTCAAGTTGACCAAAGAGATGTTGTTCCTGGTGACATTGTAATTTTTGAACCTGGCGACCTTTTTCCTGGTGATGTGAGGCTACTAACTTCAAAACACTTAGTTATAAGGTATGCTACCTGGAACACTATCCATTTCATAGATGAGCAGCAGTGTGTTCTTTCATGTCATTCATTGTTTTTCCTCAATGGCCAACCTAGATCACATGATCACATCCTGCTTCTTGAACAGTCAGTCATCCTTGACAGGGGAGTTTGGAACAACTGAGAAAACAGCTGATATAATAGAAGATCAGAGCACACCTTTGCTAGATTTGAAGAATATATGCTTAATGGTAAATTCAAATATTTTGAGCAGTGTCTATTTTGTGGTGTGAGCTATACTTCTATTGCCAGTATTTGTGCTATTGCATTCAGCTGATTAATGAACCCATGATTTAATGACTGTCTGCATAACTAGAATCATTAAGGTATTTGTTTGAGAATCAAGAGGCTAAACGTTCTTTGTACAAGTAGAAGAAAACACATTAATTAGAAAGAGGGAGATTTACCTGCTCAAACAATTTAAACTAGAAGGCTCAAATTGGGGATCAAGGACCATAGGAACAAATTAAACAAAGTAAATTCAAAAGTTCTAAATTAGTTTACAATGCATATCAAACAGATTTCCCTCATATCTTATCTTCAATTAGTGCCACTTATAACTTCATCCCAATCGATTCATTTCTTATTTTATCTTTTCTTGTAACAATGTTCATCTTGTTCAATATTCTCATTTTAGTTACACTCATTTTATGAGCATGTTTAACATCTCAACATAGGCTAACCCTACTGCATATATACATTAAAAGGGCAACTTCGAACCGAAAAATATAGTGAGAGATTAGAAATGTTTAGGGATAAAAATTTTAAAGAAGCAACATGGTGTTTGGAAAATGATACTAATAATATGTAAAATACAATGGTAGAATGTATTAAAAGAAAATTGAAAGAAGCCCTTGAAGAGTCAAAGAAAAAAATCCTATATCTAAAGATACTTGTGGTAGAATGATGAGGTGTTAGCCGTAAAAACAAGGAATACTTCAAAAGATGACAAAAAGATAACAATGAGGAAAATTTTACGAGATATAAGTCGACTAACAAGGAGGTAAAAAAAAACAGTTAGAGATGCTAAATTAAAATGCCATTATGACCTTTATACTAAATTAGATAGTAAAGATACATAGAATAAAATTTATAAACCTGTAAATGGAGAAAAAGAAAAATAAGAGACTTTAAGTAGCTTAAGTATATCAAAAGGAATAATTCTACACATACTAACAAGCTTACTAAAAATACAAGAGGGCAAATGTAATTGGTTGTCAAAAAATCAATGACATTTAAACATCCAATGATGTTTGGACACGTATGTTTTTAGTAAGATTGTTAGTAAGATTTTAAGTAGATGTAGCATTACTCTATAAAATGTAAGAATTTCAGAATGTTAGTAAAGGATAAAAAGATTAAAGAAATATTTAAAAGTTATTTTACAAATTTGTTGAATGAAAATATTTAGAAAACTTAACGAGAGAGGAATTTGGTAGCCTTGATGGAGTTAGAGAATACAAGTTCTATTGTTGAATAAGGGAGTTTGAGTTGGAATTTGCACTGAAAACGATAAATTATTTGAGGAATTAAGATCAGATTGTATCCTTACTGTAACTTGGAAATCTTAGGTAAATTAAGGGGCAGTATGGTTAACAAACTTATAAGATTCTAATGATTAGGAAATTTTCTATCATGGATAAAGTATTTTAGTACCTATATATAAAAATAAAGAAGATATTCAAAACTACAACTATAGAGCCATGAAGTTGATGGGTCATACAATGAAATTGTGAGCGAGAGTGATTGAGTATCACTTAAGAGTTACAATTACGTTATCACAAAATCAGTTTGGATTTATGCCCAATAGATCAACCATGGAAAAGATATATTTACTAAAAAAATTATTAGAAAAAGTACAAAGAGAAGAAGAAGAGGAATCTTCATATAGATTTTATAGATGTACAAAAATATTACGATATAGTGGTTGAAAATATAATATAGAAGGTGTTAGAGAAAAATGGAGTGAGAAAAAAAGTAGAGTAAAGGACATGTATGATGGGACTATGGCTACAATTAGATTCACTACATGAGAAACTAAATAATTTCCAATCACTGTAAGATTGTACCAAGGGTCATCGTTAAGTCCTTACCTATTTGCCTTAGCTATGGATGAATTAACTAAACACATTGAAGATGATGTCCATGGTGTATGTTGTTTGAAGAGGATATTGTTCTACTGGATGAAACTAGAGGATGATTTAATACTAAATTTGAAATTTAGAAAGAAGCATTTGAATCAAAAGGGTTTAAAAGAAGATTTAAACTAAATATATTGGAATGTAACTTTAGTAACAATAGAAATAAAAAAATAATAGAGAAGTGAAGATCCAAAGAAGGAGATAACAAAGTGAACAATTTCATTATCTAGGTTCAATTGTTATCAAGGATAGAGATGTTGGAAATGAGATGATATATAGAGTTAAAATTGATGTATATTGATTGATTGATTACAAGATTCATAAATTACAATTCCTATACAATCTATATATAGAAGAAAATGTGGTAGTAGGTGTAGTGGAGGTGATAGTGGGTTAGGTGAAGTGGAGTGTGTGGTGAAGTGGAGGTAGGTGAAGTGGAGTGTGTAGTGGAGTAGGTGAAGGTAAAGATGGGAAATTCTAACAGCCCCCCGCAAACTCAAGGAGGAGAGAAACTAACCAACTTGAGTTTGGAGAGAGTAACAAAACAAGAAAATACATAAAAATAAAAAAGGAGAGGAGACACTGAATTAACTAAACACATTGAAGATGATGTCCATGGTGTATGTTGTTTGAAGAGGATATTGTTCTACTGGATGAAACTAGAGGATGATTTAATACTAAATTTGAAATTTAGAAAGAAGCATTTGAATCAAAAGGGTTTAAAAGAAGATTTAAACTAAATATATTGGAATGTAACTTTAGTAACAATAGAAATAAAAAAATAATAGAGAAGTGAAGATCCAAAGAAGGAGATAACAAAGTGAACAATTTCATTATCTAGGTTCAATTGTTATCAAGGATAGAGATGTTGGAAATGAGATGATATATAGAATCAAAGTAGGTTAGCTCAATAGAGGAGTGCTTTTGGCATATTATGTAATCAACAAATTCCAACAAAATTAAAAGGACAATTTTAAGAACAACTATAAGTTCAACAATACCTCATATGACAGATTGTTGGCCAACTAAGAAACAACACGTTCATAAATGAGTGCAGTTGATATGATGGTGCTAAAATAAATGTGTGGTGAGATTAGGAATGATAGAAATAGAAATGAATATATTCGTGAAATAGTATGATAAGTTGAGAGAGAAATGACTAAGATGATTTGGTCATGTGCAATACAAACTAGTAGATAAAATAAACACTTAGGAAGGGTGATACTATCACCACAAATGGAAATGTTAAGGGTAGAGGAAAACCTAAATTGACATGTGGTACTAAATTAATATGAATTTATTAATTTAGCAGACCATGTAACCCTTTACAAAGTGGAATAAAAGGATTCAAGTAGTTGAACCCCACCTGATTGGGACAAATGGCTTAATTTTAATTTCTTTTTCTTAACTGCCTGCCATTTCACCCATCCTGTCGTATTCTATGGCCACATTGTCCTCAATTTCTCCATCATTATGAAAAATTGACACTCTTAGATATCTCATACCCTTCAAGTTTTACTCTATCATCATCCCTATTTCTAGTTTCGTTACCTATTTTCTATATCAGTCCTACTTAATCTACACCCTTTGGATTCTAAAATATTTCTCCACAATTCCAATTTAAAGTTTACTGCTCTTGTTTCTTCAAGTAAAACCATATCCTGTAACACGGTCTTCGGTAAAACTCAACCCCAAAAACTATTTGATAAGGTGAGGGTGCCTTCATACTTATATATTGCACATTACTTTTGTACCGAGGCAATGTGGGACTTTGCTTCACATTTTCCCTCACACACAATTTGCTTACTCGAAAGCACCTACCACATGCAAGCTAGGGACACATATCCTCCCCGTCCATGGTACTTCAATTCTAATACCATGTTATACGATCTTGGGTAGAACTCAACCCTAAAGCTAGTTGTCAAAGTGAGGGTGTCCTCACACTTATATATTGCATATTACTTTTGTACCTAGGTGATGTGAGATTTCGCTTCACACCCTTCCTCACATGCAGTGTGCTCACTTGGTAGTACCTATTGCGTGCAAGCCCGGGACACGCACCCTGTCTATCCTTGGAACTCCGACTTTGATACCATGTAAGTTTGAAAGAGATGAACTTTGTATATCATAATCCAACATTTTTAGTTACAACGTTAATTAACACTAAACTAAATAGAGAAAAAACCTAAGACAAAACATGAAAAGAAAATACAAAAATACCCCAAAACAAAATATGGAAATACAAAATACAAAAATACAACTTCACATCCTCTACAAATAACATACACCAAGCATATCCTTTTGACCGTTCCTAACAATCACATCTATAACTAAAGCAGAAATGTAAGGGTTTAGTCTTTGGTGTAATCTATTGTTATTGAAAGTTAGTTATGTTTCTTTTTACTATTCTCACACTAGTTACAGATCTATCGTACATATCTTTAATTACATCAATAAATCTAAGAAATATTAATTTCTTTTCCAAACCATTACACAGTATCTCTCTAGGAATTCTATCATATGTGTTTCCTATGTTTATAAACATCATCTGGAGGTTCTTTTCTTTTTTCTATATTTTACCATTCATCTCCCAGGTGTAAAACTAATTAAAAATTTGAAACTGTTGTCTTATGCCTTAATCTTCTCTCAATTACACAATCCCTAAATTTGATTGAATGAATCATAAGTTTAATACCACAACAATTAGTTTCCTCCACTCATTAAGCATTATTTTAGAATGAAAGATCTTGTTAAACAAATTAGTCAACCAAACTGCTCCATCTCCCAAACACTTCCAAACTTCAATCAGAATATCTTCTACTCCTCTAGTTTTTCCCATTTTTATCTTTTCCAAAGTCTCTTTTATCTTCTCCACTCTGATCTTCCAAAAGAACTTATAATTAATATTAGGGTAAATTACACTTACCTCCCCTACGGTTTGAAGAAAATACAATAAGCTCCACAGTTTTGGCATAATTACATTAGGCTCCCTTAAAGTTTTAATTCACACAACACTTAACCACCTTTTCATAAATAATTCATTAGTCATATGAATATAAAAATGATGTTATCATCACTTTTACACTTAACTGTATATTTTTTCTTATTTATCCTTGTGTCTTTACACTATTTGCAATAATTTCAGCCCTTTAACCTTACTAAAAGGGAGGCTAGTGCAATTATGCCAAAACTATGAGGATACTTGTATTTTCTCAAACCTCAGGTCAGTGTAATTTACCCTTTATATTATTACTAGAGTTATCAAGTTCTCCTAAATTCAGGTTTCCTATGTAGTGTTCATTAAATAACTTTTGAAAGTAACTTAACGTTTGTTAATTCATCTATAAATTAGCACTCTCTTATCTTCACCCTTGATACACTTAATGTAGTATGTAGTTTAGTTTTCTACATTTTATCTGTCTTATCTTGACAAGTTCATGTACATACATACATCTATATATATATATATATATATTTTCTCTATCCTTGGAATCTAATTAAAGACAAAGATCATCATAAACCTTCAAGTCTTCAACTTATCTTTCAAAAAATTTGTTATTTGTACATTTATATTTCTGTTTTGATTACTTTTTGAACCTCTTTATTCTGCTAACTAGTTTATTTTAAAGGTGGTTCACTTCACTTAGATTTCCGAACACTTCTTTTGCTACTTTGTTTTGTTTTTTTAAAATACAAATGGCCATCTCACACTACATAGAATTATTATTACCTTTTTTTTTTTTAATTGAAAGTTCATTTTACTTCTTTAATTATTATGTTCTTAAACAGTGCTAAAATTTTCAGCTTTTAAATTCTACTGCCTAATTTGTGATTACCTATTTTTACTGCTCTACGTATCTTCCTAATGTATCAAACACAACAATTGTGAGAAACCAGCCTTGGCATGTCAAGAGGCAATCAGGAAATAATTAAATAAAAATAAAAAATGATTTCTAAGTAATAAATGAGTCAAAGAGTCAAGCCTGAGAAAATTGAGTAAAAAAATGTGTGTAAATATTTCTTGGGAATCTAGGAAACAGTAATCTGTTTTCTATAGTTCTTCTTAAGTCTATTTAAGGGTTTAAATGACTTTCAAGAGGGAGGGGAAAAAAAAATTTAAGTTTTGAATTTTCTTTGTAATAGGCTAAGGGCTTAGTTTCTTAATGAGTATCTATTGAGTAGCAGCTTGGTTGTATCCTTTGGGCAGCAAGCTTTTTATCAAGAATTGAAGCCTCTTTTCATTGTTCTTTAAAATTTTCTGCTAGTTATCATTTTTTATTTGTTCTTGCTTCTAAGATCTTTATTTTCTTCTTCTAAGATATCAAATCAGTAGTCTTTTGGGCGGTATCAGTAGTTGGAATCAGAGCTGTGTTCCAGAAGAAAAACTATGATCCAAATCATCATGGCAGCAAAAAGCAGATCAACAGAAAATCTAGGAAATGAGGAAGTTATGGAAGATATGGCTTGAGAGTTGAGAACAAGTTTGCAGCAAGAGGAATCAGAATAGGTGCCAAATTTTAGAAGATATAATTGTTCCGATAGTGATTCATGATACCTTTTACCAATAGCTTTGCAGGCATGGTGAGAGGTTTAGTCGGAATCAAAGACATGAAGATCAAGGTTTACTAAGTTCAGCTTACCTGAAAGAAAGGGAGGCTTTTGATTACCTTGCATGAAGATCAAACTCTGCGTACAATAGTCAAAAGTAAACAAAAGGCCTAATATAAGTTTAGAAAGCAGAACCTAGATTTATCAATCTGAAACTCTGGATTATTGTTCAACCTGCATGTACTGCAACTGGTACTTGTTTAAAAAAAAAAAAAAACAACTGTGCTTCTTCAAGCTTTTAAAAAAGTGGCTCCAACCCATGTTATTTTTATGTACCATCTTCTAGAGGATAATGTGGACATGTAAGGCTCTTTACTCATTTTACGCTGTCTGGCATAATGTAGATGTAGCATTATAATCGTGATAATATGCAACATCCTCCAACAGCATCTAAAACTTTGCTGTCTTTGATTCTAGTTTCTATGCTGCAACTAATGTCTCATTATTGATTATAGGGAAGGAATGAAAAAAATAAAATAATAAAATAAAAATTTGTACATGATGTTTCCATTGTTCTACACTTTCAGGTTGGCTGTACATCATAATGTCTTATCTTACGGTATTTGGAATGTTTTTTGTTGTCATTTGTCTTACTTAGATGTAAGTGCATAAAGTACATACAAAAAAATTGTTTTTGCTTTTCATTTCAGGGAACGAGTGTAATATCAGGTAGCGGAACTGGTCTAGTTGTTTCCACTGGATCCAAGACTTATATGAGTACCATGTTTTCAAATATAGGGAAGCAGAAGCCACCAGATGACTTTGAGAAAGGCATTCGGTGTATATCTTATGTGCTTGTCATTCTTATGCTCATAATAGTTATTATTATAGTCCTAGTTGATTACTTCACATCGCTTGATTTGAGCGAGAGTATTCTTTTTGGGATCTCAGTTGCTAGTGCACTCACTCCTCAGATGCTTCCCCTGATTGTAAACACTAGTCTTGCAAAGGGAGCACTTGCTATGGCCAAAGACAGGTGTATTGTCAAAAGCTTAACTGCCATACGAGACATGGGATCCATGTAAGTTCACATTGCCCTCATTAATGTTTAGAAAGCATATTAAATAACAGCTTCAGTACAGAAACGAATATACTTTTAATTTAATTAATTAATGTGCCGTTTTTTGGACCCTTATTTTGAGATGAAATTACTTTTTCTTACTTTTTTATATAAGAAAAAAACTCCCCCCACTTATGGGAAAAGTAATAAGTTACAAGCAGGATGTGACAAGTAATAAGTTACAACTAAGGCAATGGACTTCTCTAGCAAAGAGTGGGAAGAAGGAAAGGCATGGAAGGATGGATAGAGTTTTCATTGATTGGTAGTTGGAAAGGGAGAAGGCAAGGAAAAGAAGAGGGAAAGACTTCTCTTTGGTCCCACAAGTTATTTTTGCCCAAAGTGGGAAAAGGAGAGAAAGGCAAGATCCTCTTCTTTTACAATTTGTCCCCGAAACACCGACAATTTCAAATATGTGAAGGAATATTTGTAAATTCAAACACCCTTTTCTTCCTACCTCCTCTTCATCTTGTCAAACAACCTTACTTAACACGTTTCTCATACCTTCGAATTTCTCATCCTTCTGGTAAGCCCAGTTGTAAATTCAAACACCCTTTTCTTCCTACCTCCTCTTCATCTTGTCAAACAACCTTACTTAACACGTTTCTCATACCTTCGAATTTCTCATCCTTCTAGTAAGCCCAGTAGTTAATTGACTCTTACATCATCTGGCACTTCCATCACTCCTACGTTGTACTTTGTGCATTGGATTGCAGGTTCTTGTATCTACCAAGGACAGGAAGGAAGATCAAATGAGGGCTTCAAAAAAATAAGAGTATATTGGATGTCGGTTCAGCCATGTGCTTCTGCTCCCAATAATGGTTAGAAGCTAGTAAAGCTTTCCTTGCCTCACCTCTCAAAATTCAAAGTTGAGATTTCACATGATCTTAATGACAACCCAAAAAATATTTGATACAAGACATCTATCAACCTGCATTATAATAAGACATCTAACAATCTGCATTATAACAAGACTTGTTTTTGGAGAAAGTCCAACCTTGGTATAACTGATTCGCTATGACATCTATCTATGACTACTATCAACATCAAGGGAAGTGCAGTTTCATATATATGTATATATATAAAGCCCCATAAATCATGTTTGATTCCCATATGCTTAACCAAGAAAAAATTATTGTTCAAGGCATTTCTTGTCTTCTTAGTTTAATGTCTTTTTTTTTTTAATTTTAATTTCTGTAGTGATCTATCCTTAACTTAAAGTTGTAATCACTCAACTATTTTGTTTCTTTTGCACTTCCATTTTAGGGATATCCTATGTATTGACAAGACTGGCACACTTACTGAGAACTGTGCAATCATGATTAATCATTTTGATAGTTGGGGCTCATCCGAGGAAAAGGTTCTGCGTTTTGGTTTCCTTAATGCTTACTTCAAGACTGAACAGAAATATCCTTTGGATGATGCAATTTTGGCATATGTATACACAAATGGATACAGATTTCAGCCATCCAAGTGGACAAAGATAGATGAGATTCCTTTTGATTTTACACGAAGAAGAGTATCTGTCATCTTAGAAATGGAATTGAATGCCAAAGACAAGAGCAACAGAATTGTGATAACCAAAGGTGCACTAGAAGAAGTAATAAAAATATGTTCTTTTATTGAGCATATTGATAGTGGTGAAATTGCAAGGTTCTCTGTCGAAGACCATCAGAGGATTCTAAATATAGGAGAAGAATTAAGCAATGATGGATTGCGGATTATAGGAGTCGCAATGAAAAGAATAGCAACGGTGTGTCTCAATCTCCTTTTACTCACTCTTCTATTTTTTATTTCAATGCTTTCATCTCTTTTTCTACACATATTTTCAATGCTTTCATCTCTTCTATTTTTTATTTCAATCTGGTCTAAAAAATTAATCTTTTCAGTCGTCAATTCAGTGACACCCCAAACGAATCTATTGCCTTCACTTATGACCGAGTATGATATGAAATTTGTAGACCATTTTGTTCAATAATATTGAAATTAATTATTTCTTTAATATAATAGCTGAATTTGAATTGTTTACCACTTTTAAGCTATATTTGAGTTTAATCCCTTTATCAGAATTCATTTACTGGTTACTATTAGAAGTTTAAAGAATAATGTTCCATAGCTGCAAATTTGAACATGACATCTTTAAAGCCGTTTTAGGCTCATGGAATATCTTGTATACATAATTCTATAAACTCTTGCTAACACAAGTCCTTGCTGCTGTATAGATATTTAGTTCCAATATGTGCTTGTTACGTAAATTAGAAACTACTCAGTTTGAGAAAATAAACTGACGTATCAAGCCTGCTTCCTGGGAAGCCACCTTTTCTGGATTTTAAAGAAGGCTAGAATTGTCATCAAATACTTAGATCTTGTGTTGCAAGTGCAGTCTTGGTTTGTGATCCCTGAAAACCAAATGAAGCCTAACCCTGATTTTGGTTTTTGGACTGAATGAAGTGACGGAAATTAAAATGCTTAACAATGACAAGGAAATTTTTTTTATTTTTTTTCTTTGATGGGGGGTGGGGGGTTTGTTGTGAATAATGACAAGCAAGTTATTTCAACTATCTTTTCCTTTTCCTTCATTACTAGATTTGTCTATCCCCTTCCAGACCCCCATCGTATGGGGACTAAACTGGTGTAATTTTTGTTAGTTTTTTCATTAATAATAAGTAAATGAAATTATGTTAAATGGGTTCCAATGGGGCACCACGCAAGTACATCAGAAGAAAACAAATGTAAACCAACACACAGGAAAAACACTAATCAACAACTGACAATAGCTAAAGCCTTATTGTCTTTCCTTCAATCATAATTGATTGAGCAATGTGACCTTAATTCCCTCTCCTTCCTATTTGCTGAAGAACCTTTTCCCTATCCTTCCTGGCTGTACTAGCCCCCCTCCACTTTATGTCAATGTCCCCCAAAAGTTGCAGACCTTCCTTCTCTTAACCCCCAAAATATATGCCCAAGAAGTCACAACCTTCACTAATATTCTGCTTCATCCAATTACTCCATTCTTCCTCCTTGTCCTCAGACTTCTTCTCAAAAAACCTCCAGCCGTAGATAAGACAGCCAACAGAATGCAACATGGAGCCTGCAACCCTCCATTGCCAAAAATGCTCAAAGCCCCTGCAACGTCAGTCACAGACACTGCTAATGATTACCCATCATCCAACAATAAATCCTCACACACCACCTCAACATTCAACTTCAGAGAAGGGGATTGAATCAGCATGTTCTCCTGATTCGGTCCATCCATTTCCAGCAACTGTTTAGCACATGCCTTGCTGAATTTTGATTTTGCTGATGATGTAGGACTGTTTAAAATTTTAAATATATGTACGTTGTATTGTATACAATGTGTGGATCAACCACAACAAAAATAACCATAACCCAACTGCACCCTACTAATTTGTTAAGGTCTCGTAAATCGTTGCCAGCATTTCTTGTTTTACCGTTTTTGCTGTCAGGTATTATGGCATCAATTTGATAAATGATTGTCAAGATCCAATGTAACTGGGTTTATTATGACATCAACCTCTAGTCTTATTTTCCCTTATGTCATATTACCCATTTTGATATGATTTTTTCCATATTTGTATGGACAGAAGTTGAGTTTTTACGTTGTGCTTGTACCTATCATAAGCCTTAGATATCTTCAATTGACAAGGAAGCCTATTCTTTTTAGGTTATATTTCTAATTTTATATTGCAGTAGTTTTACTAGGCTAGCATATAGAACTTAACTAACAAGTACATAAAATTATGTTGTAAAGTGACATATTTCCCATATTTTGTTTTTTTGTTTTGATAAATAATCAAACTTTATTAGAAAAGTATCAAGATGATGCAAAGAATACAAAAAGACAACTCACAATCAAAGGTCCAAACAAACTAACTCATCAAATCCTTCATGAAATCTACAAAAACCAAAACATTAGGATCAACTGAACCTGTAACCTAACTATGCAATACTGTCAACAACCTACTCTCTGACCAAGAAACCGAATGACACACATCCTGGAAAACTCGTCAGTTATGCTCCAACCACACCAACCAAAGCAAAGAATGGGAAGCAAGCACCCAAGCCTTCCTACATCTTTTCCCCACCCTAGCCCCACCACAACTTTGTAACACACCCAACATAGACCCCGGCTGCACCCAAACCAAACCATACAAAGCAACAATAAAACTCCATAGCTGAGATGCAACCGGACAATGAATAAGTAAATGATTCACCATCTCCACATCCCTACGACACATGCAACACCGATGGACCATAGTGTGCCTCCGCCAAATGAAATTGTCAATAATCAAAATGTTTACCAAATTAGCTGTCCAAACAGAAAAAGCAACTTTAGACGGTGAACCCGTCGCCCAAATACTCTTCCATGGCAACACAACAACATTACCCCCCACAAGCACACCATAAATGAAGAGACCGAGAAAACCCCCTTAGGTCTTGGACAATCCCACACCAAAGAACATTCTAGACCTCATCCCATAGAAAAACCCCAGAAGGTCCACCAGTTGATCCATCTCTCAATCTTGCACATCCTTGCAAAAATGAACATTCTAGACAATCGTATGCCCCTGCTTAATTCCAACCGAAGTAACCACATCCTCCTCGTCGGCTGCAATAGTATAAATCAAAGGGAACATGCTCTCCAAAAACAACTCACTACACCATCTGTTCTTCCAGAATCAAGTCCTATCCTTCACCCTTACTTTAATCTGAATCCTATCTCAAAACTCCTTCCATCCCAACCAAATCCCCTTCCACACACCTCGGCCATGAGATTGGCCCACCCTATTCAAACACCCCCCTTATCCACTCCATACTTGGCGACCACAATCGCTCCTCCACTGCAAAACACCACAACCACTTCCCCAGAAGAGGCCGATTAAATGCAACCAACCTCCTAACACCCAATCCCCCCTTCTTAGGAGTACAAATCCTCTCCCATGCTACCACATGATAATGAAACCCCTCCCTGTTGTAGTTTTTCCAAGTGTGGGTATATGGGCGCATGTTGACACATGGTACAAATCAAACACGTCACAACATTACATTATGGCTTCTACATTAGCCTTACCTTGGGATGATGGACACACGGAAAATAGATGGACCCCCTAAGAGGCGCTCGGGGTCAAGATTGGACTTGGCTAACTTGGATGCTTGGCTTTTCGATGACCCCACTGAGCTACTCAAGCTCCCTTGCATCAATGCTTATAAAAAAGCAGCTTGGTTGCTTGGCTCGCCTACAACCCCCCTGAGCCGATCACCACAAAGTCAAGATGACTCCATGTTCACCTGGGCTCATATTAGGGCCCATGTACATGCTCGAGAACACCTGTTTAGGACCTTGTGGACTGAAGGCTAAAACTCAAGGTTCGTCCAGGTGCATTTGGACTGGTCCTTGGAGGGGGGGAGAGGGAGAGAGAGAGAGAGAGAGAGGTGTTGACCAGAATCTGACACATTGGGAGACATATCATCCCTATCTCTGAGTTTCCCAAACATGCCCAGAAAGAGATGTATCATACCCACCCTTTGACCTCGTATGACACACTTCTCAAGGTATGCAGCAGAGGTTACACAATTGACAATGCTTCCCTCCATTTTATCTAGCCAATGGGGTCATGCCATGTGTGCTCAATTGAGGTGGCTCCCCTTTGCTCACCACACTATATGATGGGATCTCCATACAAGCTTCATGAATGACAATCATCTCCAATTGGATCATCCAACTCTCTAGTGCATCACTGTGATCTTCACTCTCCACTAGGGCTGTCCTTGGTTCTCTTCTCTTCCATGTTCGGTGATCTCCAACCATATCAGTGCCTGCCATCTTTGCAGATGGCACCCGTCTCTCATTCACACATCATGTTAACTCTATTAGACTTAATCTCACATCACCAATCGAAGCCACCCAAACTTGGTTAATATAATGCAAGGGCCTCTACACTCCTTGCCAATTAGTTTTGAGTTAGATGCTTTACCAAACTCATTTTTTTATTGTTATTATTTTTTTTTAATTTTTAAAAATGAGATGTTTTCTTTTCTTATCCACCTCACTTCAATACATATGGTCCTGCTTTCAGGCCATGTAATGTAGTAAATCTTATGGCTACATCTGATTACCAAGGAGTGGAGGGAAAAGGAAAGAAACTTTTAAGTTTTTATTACTTTGCAGCATAGCATGTGATGGTTGTATTGTAACTTTCTTAACTCTTTTTTCTTCCTTAATTAGTACAAAATTTTGCTTAGGAAAAAAAATGAAAAAAGAAAGGATTGATTAGAAGCCACAGAATCTGTTCACTTGTTTCAAAGACTATCAAAATGCAAAATCCTGTTATTGTAGTTTGACCATGATACTAGACAGTCAACCCATAGTCCAGAATATATAACATGCATATTAAACAAAAATTATATATGCATCCATATATATATATATATATAAAGTAGGATGAAGAAAATGAATACAGGTATATGAATGGCAAAGGTAATGTTATTTGCATAATTACAACCATGTATAGAGGGAACAAGAGTCAAGTAAGAATAGTAGGCCATCTATTTTTATAGCATCTTATGGTCCAAACACAAAGTACCTGTCTACACTATGCATATATTGGTTGATGTATATGTGGAAGTATGCATGCTTTCATACGAGTGCATATATACAAATTATAAACATTCAAATCAACAATTCTTAGCCCCAATTGCTTGAGGTCAGCTTTATTATTCCGTTACCTCCATAAATTAGAATAAAATTAATACAAAATGCAACATAGTGGATGAGACTTGACTTTTATAATTTGTGATCTTAATACCTTTATGAAAATTCAAGCACAAAGAGTCAAATATCTTTGAACAATTTTGAATGGAGTGTACTTGTCCGCTTGGAATCACAGCCTTAATATCATTTGATTTAAATATTCAGGCTCCTAGATGCCCAACTCTTGTTCATTATTGATGTGTTTGGATCTTGAATTCGTGGAGGGAAGTAGATGCTATATTTATTTTTTTTTTCATTTTTCCTTCCATTTTCTTCTCCCTTCACAAATTTTTATATAAATTCAAAATCCAAACACAGCCTAAGAGAACCAACCAGCGGAGAATTAGAATTCACTTATGCTAAACTGTGTACTTAACAGTGCTTTTTGTTATGCTGCAGCAAACAGGTAACAGAAATGTTGCTTATGACGACAGTGTTGAATGTGAAATGGTGTTCCTTGGTCTTATATCTTTCTTCGATCCACCAAAGGAATCTGCTAAGCAAGCACTGTGGCAGTTGGCGGAAAAGGGAGTAAAAGCGAAGGTATTAACAGGCGATTCACTCTCCCTAGCGATAAGGATTTGCAAAGAAGTCGGAATCAGAACTACCCATGTGATTACAGGACCTGATCTTGAGTTACTCAGCCATGACTCCTTCCACGAGACTGTTAAAAGAGCAACAGTGCTGGCCAGGCTCACACCTACTCAGAAACTACGGGTAGTGCAATCTCTGCAGACAGTTGGAGAACATGTAGTTGGGTTCTTGGGAGACGGAGTAAATGACTCTCTTGCATTGGATGGTGCCAATGTTGGAATATCAGTAGATTCAGGGGCTTCAATTGCAAAAGATCTTGCCGACATTATCTTACTGGAAAAAGACCTCAATGTTCTTGTTGCCGGAGTTGAGCGGGGTAGACTTACTTATGCAAACACAATGAAGTACATAAAGATGTCAGTTATAGCCAATATAGGAAGTATTCTTTCTCTGCTCATAGCTATTATAGTTCTTAGGTTCGAGCCCTTGACACCAAGACAGCTTCTTACACAGAACTTCTTGTACAATGTCGGCCAGATTGCAATCCCCTGGGACAAGATGGAAGAGGACTATGTGAAAACACCGCAGAAATGGTCACTCAAAGGCCTAGCAATTTTCATCTTGTGGAACAGTCCTGTGTGCTCTCTATGCGACATATCAACCGTCTTATTCATTTGGCTTTATTACAAGACTTATTCTCCATTGGACATTATATTCTTCCGATCTGCTTGGTTTGTTGAAGGGCTGCTCATGCAAACCCTAATCATCCATTTGATCAGGACAGAGAAGATCCCCTTCATTCAAGAGGTAGCCTCATGGCCTGTGATTTGTTCCACACTTGTGATCTCTGCCATTGGAATTTCAATTCAATACACACCAATCGGATCTGTGATGGGATTTACACGTTTGCCACTCTCGTATTTTGGATTTTTGGTTGTGCTTTTTATAGGGTATTTTACAGTAGGCCAGATAGTCAAGAGAGTATATATTCTGGTGTATAAGACATGGCTTTAGATAAAAAAAAATTAAAATCATATGACAGAATGCTGTCACAAAAATTATTAGAAAATCAACACACAAAAAAAAAAAAATTCCGTTTTTGTATTATTGAGTGTAACACATTGCTTGTAGCCTCAATGTTCCCACAACATCAATCACATTTTGTATGGATACTCTTTGTTCCAACAACATTATTTTGTGCATCACCTTCAATTTTCAAAACATTTAAGTGATAGTTTGAATCTTTGACACGAGAGCCAATTTTGATAAGATCTATCATAATATAGCGTGCAGAACGAAACAACTGCATGCCAGTCCAAGTAAAGTTCTACCATTTGATATTTTCACAGCCGGTGAATCACCTACATCGAATATATTTGATTCAAATCATCAGAACTACGAAATAAACCCAACATTGATATGGTCATGAAGTATCAAAAAAATAAAAAGCTAAAGAACATAAATTAGCAACAGAGCCTGCTCACACCATGTATGCACATGTATTTTTTTCAAATCTCAAAAGAAATAAAAAGGAGAAATTTTAGAGATTTACCCAGTTGAAGATAATTGTTCCGAATATTCCATTCAAAATCCCAGTGTTTTCTGTCATTTTTGAGTGTCCAATAAGCCCATCCAAACGAGGCTTCATTATAGACCTCTAACTGAGCCCTCCCGAAATCTTGATAATCCCTTTGAGATCCGCTTGTCACATTCCACTCATTAACCCACTCCCCTGCAAACAATCCATTTCTAAATTTCATAGTCTAATGATTATAGAATATAGAACTTGTATTAAACTAAACCAAGTTTAAAACTAGTCCAAAAACTGGTATAAAACCTTGGAGAAAGTTTCTTTTCAATGAATAAAATTGAAAAATGAGTCTTGCCTTACCAATAAAAATAAGTGGCCCATTTGCGCTGTTTAAAGCTTGTAATTGGGTTTGTCTGCTCTTGAAAATGAATTGGATATTGTCTGTAGTGTTCAAATTGACGAAGAAAGGGTCGAAGAGATTGTAGTAATGCAAATCCACCACTATGTTCAAAGAGCCTATGTTAGCTTGAAAAAGTTCGAGTGGATCTGCATTCCCTATTCTCTGGCAAACAATCACATAAGCTGTTGATGAGTATTTCCGAACGATTTGATACCCTTGCTTGTAATATGAAAGCAAGATATCCAGGGGAACATTGGCAGCAGATGGTTCATTTAGAAGTTCAATTCCCAGCAAGGCAGGATGTTTGGCATACCTGAAAAAGAAAGAATTCGTTTTCTATGAACTTAAAATTTGCTAGAAAAAGAAGTCACAAGGAATTCATTTTCAATGAACTTAAATTTTGCCAGAAAAAGAAGTCACAGGTCAATGTTGTTCAAAGAGTGAAAACAAGAACTCCCAAAAAAAATTTAAAAAAATAAAAAAAAAAAGAAAAAAAAAAAAAAAAAACACTTTAAAGAGAGAGAGAGGTTAAAGGCATCAAATGCTACAAATTTTGTGCTAAATTGATTGCTTCAATCATGGATTCAATGAAGTTAAAATTTATACCTCTTCATCAAAAGAAATGAAGTCTAGTCAGCAAATGCAACGTTAATATAAGATACAATGACTTTAGTAATGAACTTGGTACACTACATTGGAAGAGATACCAACGAGAGATAAAAGGGAAAAGAGAAGGGGTGAGAGATGTTATGGATACAAGAAGAATGGCTCTGAAAACAGAAAAAAGTGAGGTCGTAAAATGAAGGGGTTATTCAGCATGTGAAGAAAAAGAAATTTTACCATTTTTGTGCTCTATCGCAATGCAAAATTTAGAATGATCTGTTTTCCATGGTACTGGAATTGAGTATTTGACTAGTTTTGTCACTACACTACCTTAAACAACAAAACAAAACTATCTGGTGGTGTTTGGTTCATTGGAATGGAGTGAAATTGAATGATCATTCCATCAAAATATCAATTCTCATTGTTAGAATAGTATGTTCTTATGTCATTATTTAGTTAAGTTGAGGGTACTCTGGTCATTTTGTAATGTCAGGTTTTATATAAATATATTTGCTGGTGTAGAGTAATTCAATAACTCTAAACCGTATATTATTATCAGTCTCTTTCTCTCTTCTCTCTTTCTTCCTCTCAAACCATAACTGTAAATTTCTCCATTATACATTCAAACTTGGTATCAGAACAATCCATTCTCCATCAGATATTATTCAACAAATTTTGGGCATTGATCTGAGGTGTCCAAGACGTACTGACGTCATCATCTGTACGATGACGTCAGCGTGACATCAGCATTGTACGAACAAGTTTTTCACCCCAAGTTCGAAATTGCCTCCTGATGATGATGGTATTTTTTGATCACTCCTTATGGGTGTTTTCTATTTTTGAATGATTTTCGAGTTTTTTGGTGTCCCTCTTTGCATCTGCGATTTGCCCTGTTTCTGATTGTTTCTACCAATTGAAATCTACTATATAGGGGCCGAAACTCACCTGTGCATGGTTATTGCACCTTAGTTTGTTCATTTGTTGTTGTTGGGTTGGTTTTTTGATCCCTATTGTGGTTCGACAACCCTGTTTGTGTCTCACCCACCTTTGTTTTTCATGGGTTTTGAGCTCTGTTTGTTGCCTTGGTTGTTTGTGGGTGCTGGTACTTTACTTCTTCTTGTTGGCTCATCTTCCTCTTATTGTTGACTTGTGGGATTGTTATTGTTGAGCCTGAGGCTAAGGCAACACCACCTATGGCTATGAGTAAGGATGATGAGATGCCTAAATCTATTACTACCAAAAAATTGAATGGTGCAAATTATATAGCTTGGGCTCAAATTATATGGCTTGGGCTCATGCAATTAAAGTTTTCTTATGTGGCAAGAAGAAGTTACGTTATCTTACTGAACTACCTCCTGCTACTAATCATTCTACTTATGATGATTGGTGTAATGAGGATTCATGTATTATGGGGTGGAAATGACATAGCTTAGACCCTCATGTTGCTAGTACTGTGGAATTTTGTGACACTGCTAAGCAAATTTGGGACTCCCTTGCTGAATCATTTTTGAATCAGAGTAATGTCTCTTGGGTCTATGAGTTATATGAGCAGATTTTTGCTAGTCGCCAATCTGGCCGGTCTCTTTTCGATTATTATAGTGGTCTTAAGAAGTTGTGGGATCAATTATTGCAACACAGACCCTTCACTGCTGATTTGGCCACACAGAAGCAACATTTGGAAGATTTTATGATGGTCTCTTTACTCTCCGGCTTGGATTCTGATTTACGGGGGTTCAAGGATCAAATTCTCGCCAGTGAGGCTCTACCTTCTGCTGCTAATGCCTATTCTCGGCTATTGCATTCTTCATTGGGGCAAACTTAACCCACCTCTGGGACATCTTCTTTGTCCTCTTCTGCATTGGTCTCTAGCCATGGTGACCGTTGGCCTAGTCAAGGGAGTTTACATGGACCCCCTGGTCAACGGGGCTCTTATTCTGGCTCACGAGGTACTCATGGAGGTAGTTCTCATAGTGGTGGTGGTCGTAGTGGACTTTGTTTTAGTTCTCGTGGTGATCACACACGTACTCATTGTGGTTCCCTAGGCCATACTAAACCTTGGTGTTGGCAGAAATATGACAAACCCTAAGTTGCACGAAGCAGGAGTGGAGGCGGAAGTGGAAGCGGGAGCGAGGGAGCGTGAGCCGATAGAAGTTTCTTAGGTTGGGAGCGCCTCAGGGAGCGCTTATATATATATATATATTATGTATATATAAATAAAATTAATTCAAAAATTCAGCATGCATTTGTTTTCAAAGAAATTTTCAAAAAAATGTGTTTGGTTTGGTTATTTTGAAAAAAAAAATTGTAAATAACTTTTCAAATACTTTTGAATAAAAAAATATGTTTAGTTTGGTTTGATTTTATTTTTAAATATATATATTTATTTATTATATGTAAAATCAAAAAATATATATATATATTATTTTTATTTATTTATATTATTTACTTTAATATTAAATGTTATTTTCAATTTTTTTTCTACAAATAAAAATAATTTATTGTATATGTTAATGTTTAGGATATTGAGAATATTAAAAAATATAAAAACAAAAATAAAAGATGGAAAAAAGGTTTTTTTATAACTAAAAACAAAAAAAATGTAAAACAAAAAATATAAAAAATAAAAGAGGGAGAGAGAGACATCAATGAAGAGAGGAGAGAGAGGAGTCGAATAGAGGAGAGGAACAAGAGAGATGAACAGAGAGAGAGAGAGGAGACGAAGACAAAGACGAACACACACACACACACACACACACAGAGATACGAAGGAGACAACGGTGAAAAGCATTGAACAGAGGGAGAGAGAGAGTCAAAGAAGATGAACAGGTTCGACTTCAACGATGAATAGAGGGAGAGAAAGAGTCGAACACACATAGATTGGAAGAACATACCTTGATCTAGTCTCGATTAGGGCTTCAACAAGTTTTTCCCCTTTCTCTTTCTTCAATGGGTTAGGGTTTCTGTCTGGTTTCTCTCTGTTTTCTCTTTCTCTATCTTCAATGGGTTAGGGCTTCTATCTGTCTGGGTTTCTGAGTTGTTTTATTTCCACCAACGATCCCATCTTGGACAAGATCGCGTTTCTCTCTATAGAAACGCGATTTTTACACGTTTCTTTCTAAGAAACGCAGAATCGTGTTTCTTACGAAGATTCATCACCTGGTTGCACAATTCCTACAACTAAGGGCAAACCTGACCGTATGCATCAAGTTATGGATGTTTCGTCCTCGGTTTCCACTGGCCATGTTACTCCTCTAGTTGATTCTCATAAGGCACTCACTATTTAGATTAGCGAGCTTACCGCCCTTGTCCAGTCTCTTCGGCCTGGTCTACCTTCATCCTCGATAGCTACTATGGCTAGTTCAGGTAATATTGCTTGTGTGGCTCAGTCCACCCAACCTTGGCTCATAAACTCTGGCACTAGTTCCCATATCTCTAGTAATTCCTCTCTTTTCGATACTCTTAGGCCTGTTACTCATGATATTATACACTTGCTGATGGATCTTCTCAACCTATCAGTGGTCAAGGCGCTCTTCATCTAACTCCATCTCTCTCCTTACCCTCTGGTCTTTATGTTCCTAAGTTTCTATTTAATTTGCTTTCTATTAGTCAATTGACTCAAGCTCTCCATTGTTCCATAACATTTTCCCCCGCTTCACGTGTTTTGCAAGACCTCCAGACTAAAAGAATGATTGGTTTATGGCATAAAAAGGATGGCTTATACTTTTTGGACACTGAGAGCTCTCTTGGTCCTCCGTCTATTGTGTTGAGTGTTGCAGTGTCTCCCCTGTAGTGGCATTTTCGCTTGGGTCATCCCTCATTAGCCAAGCTCAAGTTAGCTGTTCCTGGTTTGAATCATGTTTTTCAGATTGAGTGTGAAGCCAGTCAATTTAAAAAGTATCACTGTAGTTCTTTTCCTAGTCATAGTGTTAGTCATGTATCTAAGTCGTTTGATCTTGTCCATACAGATATCTAGGGTCCTTCTCAAACAACCACTGTTAATTTATTTTTATTTTGTTATTTTTGCGGATGATTATTCTAGAATGACTTGGTTGTTTTTAATTAAACAGAGGTCTGATTTGCCTTCCACATCATTTCTAAGTTTTATAATAAAATCTTTACTCAATTTGGGAAACGTATTAAGATATTTCGATTTGATAATGCCTTAGAATATGTGCAGTCGATTGTAACTACTTTTTGTGATACTAGTCAGCATGCTTGGTTATCATTTTTCAAAAACACTTTTCAGAAAAATTCTACTTTTTTATTTTCCGTATTTTTTTGTTTTTACTGAATTTTTTTAATATTTTGAGCAATTTTTTTAATTTTTAAACATACCTAACATACATATACCTAAAAGTAAAAAAAAAAATTGAAAAAAACCTTTTAAAAATTCACTAAATACCAAAAATACAAAAAAAAAATATATAAGAATTCAGTACATTTTTTATATTTTTATGCATTTATTAATTTTAAAAAATATTTTTTCACAATTTTTTTACTTTTTAGATACATCTAAGTAACGTGCATCTAAAAAAGTAAAAAAAAAATGTTTGAAATTTTAAAAATATTCACTAAAAACAAAAAAACACGAAAACCAAAAAACTCAGTTTTCAAAAAACTTAATTCAAAAAACTCAAACCAAACCAAACACACTGACTCGTGGTATTATTCATCAGACTAGTTGTTCTCATATGTCCCCCAAAAATGGTG